TGACACAAACATGGATGACCCTTTTATACCCACTTAAATATGGGTATGATGAAATTTTAAATTTTGAAAACAAAATAAAGAAAGACCTTACCCTAATCTGCTAATCATCATTCATCACTCAAACCCATGCCAAGTCCGGTTTCTTTCAGTCANATTTTAAATTTTGAAAACAAAATAAAGAAAGACCTTACCCTAATCTGCTAATCATCATTCATCACTCAAACCCATGCCAAGTCCGGTTTCTTTCAGTCACTACCTCCCACTTCTGCCTCTCATCTCTTTATCACATCCACATCTATACCCCGTTTGAAAGTTTAAAGAAAGTTAAGGGAAAGTGCGGACCCAGATAAATTCTCTCAATCTTGTCACTGTTTTTCGTTTTAGATAATGGGTTCTGTTTGGTTTGACTTTGGTTTACTGGANTGTCACTGTTTTTCAGAAGTGTTCGACTGTTTTTCGTTTTAGATAATGGGTTCTGTTTGGTTTGACTTTGGTTTACTGGATTTTCTGTTCTCTCTTCTATATGCCTTATGATTCAAAATGTTCTTCATTTCACTGTGGTGAGCATAACATCTATGAACTTTAAAAAGGAGAGTTAGTAAGGGGAGGCTAGGGTTTGTTTATGTATCTTGCTGACTGGGATTTGAATTGAATCTTATGATGCTTATGATGTAGAGATGCAGATTTTTTGTGATTTGAATGCATTTCTCATCTTGTAACACAATTTCTTGCCAAAAGAAGGGGGGTCAAATGTTCATTTCTTGTTTCCTCATTTTTTGCAGTTCAGTTCTTCAAAGTGCTGTCCTGAGTACTTAGTTTGATCAGGAATTTAGAGCATTTTCGTTATAGAGATTCCCTACATTGCAATTCAATCCAATACAAGATGTCTGTTGGATTTTTTTCTTTTCATATCTTTCTTCTAAAATCTTCTTTTAGTTGGAACTTCAGTTTCTGTACGTGAAGTTTATTGGATTTTGAGGTGTTCTCTTTGAAGAGTAACTATATTTTTGCTGTTTTTTTTCAATTTTATGGTTTCTTACTGTTTTTTTACTTGTGATTTTCACCTGGAGTGCTATTCTAGTTCAGCTCAACAGCTGATCCACTAATACTCAAANGAAGTGAGTTAAAATGGAAGGCTATTTGTCAATTATCACTCGTCTAGAGAGTTGATTAAACCTAACAGTTATTTTTAATTTTTAACGAGAGACACAAACGAATGAAGAGAGCTTTCTATAACAAAAAAGAACTTTTATGTATCTTTTTTCATCTGTCAAAATTTCCTAATAGATTGACACATTTGAATTGAGTCTTTAAGTATTATGACAACAAATATGAATTGGGTCAACTTAATAACTAAATGCGCCTAAAAAAACAAACCCAACAACTAGGATCAATGAAATCACAATTCGAATTGGGATTCTACAATTCTATAAGATTAAAATCACGATTCATTAAGATCCTATCAATTTTGGAATTTTACATGAGACTCGGGTCAATTTGTTTGCTTCGGATTGTATGATCCTAGGATCCGGTTTGGTATTTTGATAACCATGCTCCAAACACATCAGAATCAATTAATAGGCAACAATTTAAAGAGAATCACCACTAAAGAAAGCTAGAAAATTTAGAAGTTACATCAGAATATCACTGAAGCATGAACCAAATACGACGAGGGGCTGAAAAAGGGTTGGCTGAACCACTATAGCCATTAATCCCTTTAAAACTCCTCAAATCTTGATCAAACTCATAGGCATTCTTCCTTATTCAAAACCAAATAAATATAGAAACTATGTATCAACGAAATTNTAGGCATTCTTCCTTATTCAAAACCAAATAAATATAGAAACTATGTATCAACGAAATTTGAAACTAAACCTAGAATTTTCTAGCGTAATCAACTCCTCAGCTGACCATGCGGGCAATTTTCTTTTCTTCGATTTTTTTCTTTTCTTTTTTCCTTTTTTGCTGACAGCAATGATCTTTCCACTTAGCGACGATTAAAAATATCCACCCCTACTCAAAATACCATGTTAAACATCAATATTGACTCATCGAGAAAGAGTAACGAAAGGAAAAAGAATCTGAAACAAAGAGAGAGTTTGAGTGGCTGCAAAAGAGGGATTAAGTTTCCTCCCTTATATTTTCTATACTACCTATGATATAAGGATAAAAAAGTACCCTCTAAGGATAATTAATAATAATAAAACACATTCCAACACATACAATATTTGATATAAGATTAAGTGTACCATGTTATTACTTATATTAATTAAATACAATTTGCATGAGGTGGACCATATACAAGATAAATCATTGAAGTTAACTTAATAAGTAAAAGACAGTAAGAGAATATAGAGAGGGCGGAAAAAAAAGGTTAATATAATCAACCTATTTTTGCGGAGAAGGGAATGAAAGGTTCTTTCTTCCCTACAATCCACAAATCTTTAATTTGAATAGTCACTTTCTTCTAAGATTCAGACACATAGATTTTCAGTACTGGTGAGATTGTGTGCTTATAGAGAGTGAGATTAATCAAACTCAGCAGGCTTACATTGGACCTCAATGGATTAGTGTCAAAATCACGTCAACCAGCTTAACACAAATACAAGCGAGTTAGGTTCGTGTCAAAATCAGTGATCTAATTCGGACATGTGAAACTTGTTAGCTAAAAGCGTTAACCCGATCATGACACAAACATGGATGACCCTTTTATACCCACTTAAATATGGGTATGATGAAAATTTAAATTTTGAAAACAAAATAAAGAGAAGACCTTACCCTAATCTGCTAATCATCATTCATCACTCAAACCCCCATGCCAAGTCCGGTTTCTTTCAGTTTCTACCTCCCACTTCTGCCTCTCATCTCTTTATCACATCCATATCTATACCCCGTTTGAAAGTTTAAAGAAAGTTAAGGGAAAGTGCGGACCCAGATAAATTCTCTCAATCTTGTCACTGTTTTTCAGAAGTGTTCGACTGTTTTTCGTTTTAGATAATGGGTTCTGTTTGGTTTGACTTTGGTTTACTGGATTTTCTGTTCTCTCTTCTATATGCCTTATGATTCAAAATGTTCTTCATTTCACTGTGGTGAGCATAACATCTATGAACTTTAAAAAGGAGAGTTAGTAAGGGGAGGCTAGGGTTTGTTTATGTATCTTGCTGACTGGGATTTGAATTGAATCTTATGATGCTTATGATGTAGAGATGCAGATTTTTTGTGATTTGAATGCATTTCTCATCTTGTAACACAATTTCTTGCCAAAAGAAGGGGGGTCAAATGTTCATTTCTTGTTTCCTCATTTTTTGCAGTTCAGTTCTTCAAAGTGCTGTCCTGAGTACTTAGTTTGATCAGGAATTTAGAGCATTTTCGTTATAGAGATTCCCTACATTGCAATTCAATCCAATACAAGATGTCTGTTGGATTTTTTTCTTTTCATATCTTTCTTCTAAAATCTTCTTTTAGTTGGAACTTCAGTTTCTGTACTTGAAGTTTATTGGATTTTGAGGTGTTCTCTTTGAAGAGTAACTATATTTTTGCTGTTTTTTTTCAATTTTATGGTTTCTTACTGTTTTTTTACTTGTGATTTTCACCTGGAGTGCTATTCTAGTTCAGCTCAACAGCTGATCCACTAATACTCAAATACGGATGAATATATTTATCATAATCTTGTTCCCTGAAGTTTTCTTAAAGTTTGGCACCCTGCTTAAAAAGGTAGCCTTTCTGAGTCTGTGATCCATTGTTATGTAATTCTCCATATATATGCATTTCTCTCTCCTTCTCAACCTAGATGCTTTTCTATCTCCTCGTTAAAATTCGTGAATTTTAACTATATTTTCCTATTTTCTTTTCTTTTTTTCTGGTGAGAACACAAGGAAATCCTTGTATGTTTCAGTTTGTGTTAGTGACATAGAAGGAAACCCCATTTCAGAGGGGTTTGTACCTCTACATTTCATGTGTATAATTGTGCAAAAACACAGCCCAAGCTTCATCACAACAGCATAAATTGCAACTTTGCCACTATCATATTGACTTTGGCTGGCACAGAGTTTTGAATAGTGATACTCATTTGGGCCAATTTTTTTTAGTTTGCCAAATGCATTAACCTTCAGATAGACTTATGATAGTATTACTCTCTGTTGTGTAATTTCAATAGGATTAGATATATGAAAGGAAGTTGAAGCTACATTTGTGTCTTGCTAGTCCAGGGATGATGCAGTTACTCTTCACAGGCAACAATCCACCAACCCCACCAGGTGGATGGCAGAGCAGGCACCTGAACCACTTGGCGTTTGCCAGGCTTTCTTTTCTTCACCATTAGTGCCGAGATGGATAACTATTTTCTAAACTGGTTGTGGCAGTTGCATGGGTTCTCATAGTTTTAGAATAAATCAGCTACAAGTATTTGTGATTTTCTTAAATAAATTTTGGAGGATGAAACCTTTATTTTTGTGCATTAGTCATTAATATTTTAGTTCCTTCTTGGATGTCCCTAAAGAAATGGTTTGGATGATGATGTTAGCATGTATCGATCTGAATAAACGAGTTAAACAAGTTTAATACAAGTCGTGTTAAATCTGTTAGCGTTGTGTTAATCCAAACACAACCCTTGTAACAAACCTGTACACAGGTTGGTGCGCAGGTCATGCTGACCAGAACACGACCCATCTATCACACGAGTAATGCAGATCATGTTGAAAGGCAAAGAATTTTCACTTGACAACCGTAACCGAATCCAAATGCCTACCATCCAGCAGATAGTACTAGAGAAAATTCATTGTAGAAAGCAGAGTCATATAGTTCATTAATAAATTACTCATTGTGCATCCACAAGACATCAAAATCTTCATGCAAAACAAAAATTAATGAATACATGACAATTAAAGCTCAAAGAATCTACAAAAAAGTTAACAATAAATGGTCTTAAAAAGCGTGCAACTACAAAAACCCTCACTTATATTTCAAAAAAGTGTAGAAGTTGTAGAAAATAATGAAAGTACCTTATCTTGTGTGATTTGAAGCGCTCACGCAACTCAATCCATTCAATGACCTGCAGCACCCGCCTCCAGTTGCCTAGTTTACCCAATATCTGGATAATTCTCAACATGGAATGATCTGAGAATCTGATATTTGCACTTCGCATCATTTTGGAGAACATCCACTCAGGCATATCAATGTCTGCACCATTCAAACTGCCAAAGTAAACTACTTTACAATGAGTCAAAATATAGAAGCTCATGTCAATATCAATGAACGAAACTTGCATCTCTGGTACATGCACCCAACATATATTAGGATCACAAATCACACAATATCAAATCTACCATGATAGATATTCCAAGACACCAACAAGTTTGTGAACCACAAGGCAACCACCACAAGCATAGCAAGCATGAAACAAACTCTTGTCGATTGAATCCCTGTTAGAAGTTCTAATTCAACAGAACAAAAATTTCTTCATATACACATAAACACGCCTTTATGACCTGGCAAAGATGGAAGTTGGCCCAGATAAGATTGTGATCTGGCATCACAAATTCGAGTCATTAGCTCTCTGCACGCTGAGTAAGGTTGTTTCATCTGACCCTCCCCAGGCCCACAGAGTAGTGAGAATCTCATTCACTAGATTACCCTTTTCACACATATCCTTTATAAGATAGAGTTCTAAAATAACAACATTTTCATTTAACCATATACAAAAGTGAGGCAGACTTCTACAATTTGTAGCAAAAATTTAAACTAAGAAATTACATTCTTTACCACTTGTGTGCATAGTCCTACCTTCAGACCTCTTCCACACAATTTTTCAGTCAGTGGGGTTATTTTTGCATAGTCATGTTTCCATGGACATTTGGCTATACTAAATTAAAATCTCTAATTCTATATATTTAGAAATTGTTTTTAGTAGAGAGTTAATTTGGTGAGAAGGATTGTAATTCCTCTTCAGCCTCTCTCATCGAAGGTAACCGACACCAAGATGGATTTCCCAGAGATTAGAGTGGAGCACAAAAATTTTTTGATTGAGGTTTTGTTTAAAGGCCGGAACAAGTTTTTCCGTATTATTAAGTAGAACTTCAGCAAGATTTTTTCCCTTAAACATATACAAGAACAAAGCATCACGACTTGAAAAAGGTCTTCGAAAAGCTATCAGGGATGACCAAAAAAGGTTTTTCTTCATAAGAATCTGAGAGAAAGGTTGTTCATTGTGGATGGAGGCGGTCGATAATGGTATCAGAGTAACAAAACTTTTTAATAATGGTGAAAGAGTGGGACTGATTATACCAAAGCATTGCAACAAGGAAGGAAGAAGTTGGTTGGATGTTGCAACAACTATCAAAGATGTGGTGAAGGAGAAAATTGGGCAGAAGGATATGATAATGGCTAAAACAAAGGATGGAACAAAAAGCATATTATGGTGGGTTAAAAGGTGGAGATGATCGGATTTGCTCAAATGAAAATGATTTACAGTGACTTGTATAAGAGAAAGCATTTTTTAATTGTGGAGTGATATCAGACTATCACTGGCCAAGAGATTAAACTTTGAAGTGCACTTATTTCCTTTTCAAGTTGATAGCACAATAATGTTTTGTGGCAATATTGCTCTCCCGGAAGAGGTTTGTAGACGGAGAAAGTGTCAATTAGATGACACTATTCGTGTTAAATTTCAGAGGAGGAGACCTGAATCAAATTCAATTCGTAGCAGATTTGCTTTTTTGGGGGTTGGATAGGTATTGAAGGGCTACCTTTTCATCTTTGGAGGCATGAAATATTCAAGAAAATAGGGGATTGTTGTGGCAGATTTGTTGAAGTGAAATTCAGTTCGCTTAATCTTGAAAATATGTTTATGGCAAGAATTAAGGTAAAAAGAATCTCCTCTGGAATTATTCCGGCGTATTTGGATATTGAGTTTCAAGATAGGATGTGTCGTGTTAAAGTTTAGGTTCTCTCACGGCTTTGGAGCAATGATTCATCTATTTGGAACAGCGCAGGGTAGTAGGTAGCACAGAGATTTCATGCTCTGATCAAAAGGTTGAAGATGATAAGTTATGTCAAATGGGCACACGTGACATTAATAAATCTGTTGGTGTACAGGGAAATGGTGAGATGAGTGGTAAAGTTATGAGTAATGGGTTGGAATTAAATGTGCAAATGCAAGATTGTGGGCCGAGATTGATGGCAGGTTATTGTGCCATTAACGATAATTATTCCCGAGACAATGGTGCAGTTATGAAGGCTTTTGAAACTCAAAATGAGAATCAAGATTCAAGAGGATGAAGGGATGCTGAATAAAAATTTAGTACTAATGCATTCAAAGGAATACGGATCAGGGGAAGGAATTGGGCTAGATTTTGAGACTGAGAAGGAAAAGACGGAAGGCCACTTGAATAATAAAGAGAGTGGACTGCATAGGAAGAAGAATCACAGAAAACAAAGCCTGCTAACTAAAGAGGCTGGAGGTATTGGGCTAGACAAAACTGGGCCTTTTACAACTGTTAGAGATATAGCAGCCTAGTTTATTAGGGTTTATTAGAGTTTATTAGAATTTTCTCTTTTTTATCTTTTTATCCTTATTGTAACTTTCATTGGCTATATATACGGGGGCTCTACCCTTAGTTTGTATCCCTTTTTACTCACCAATACATCAAGTTAGTATCAGAGCCAAAACCCCTAACCCTAACCCTTCACCGACTGCAACTCCACCAGCACCCACAGCCTGTAACTCCACCAAGAAAAAAATCCATACACCGACTGCCTATCCTCATACCAGTCCATTCCAGCCCCCAACAAACCAATCCATACCAATCCACGACAACCTGCAACAAACAACCTCAATCCACGACAAAAGCAGCAACCTCACATGCGAAACCGAATACCCACCTGGACCGACAAATCCCAGCGAAACCAAATACCGACAGTGACCCCTGCTACACCGACAAATCCCATAACCCACTAATAATCACAACCAGCGAGACAAAGACACAAACCGACTGTCTCCACTCCAGCCGACAGACACCACTTCACCATCTACCTATCAGCACAGCACCCACCGAAATCAGGAACCGCCGACAGCCTACAACGATAGCAACACAAAACTCACTCAATCACTGACACACTGCCACAAACAACGGGCACCACCGACCATCTTCCAAGCATAAACCGACTGCCCACTGCCCATCCACTCAATCACCGACTGCCATCCATCGACAAACCAACTCCTCACCATATTAAATAAACCTCAATCCCGCCCACATTCAAACAGTATGCCCACCGACTGCCTGTATTAAATAAACCCAAGTCAGTAAACCGACTGCCCATATTAAATCAACACAACCCAGAACAAACAGTCATATTAAATCAAACCAAACCAGCCATTATTCGAACCCAACCCAGACCAACCCACTGCCCATTGCCCAACCCAGACCAGCCCACTGCTGGATCGCATTTTCGTTGTAGCTTCGTCCTTCGCACACTTCGTCACAGTGCTGCCAAGTTGCAATATCTAGGACTTTTTTAGGAGAGAGCAGATCCTCTTCTCTGATGATCTGCTTTTGATGCAGTAGATCACTTTTATATTTTTTAGATTTCTGGACACCATGACCTGATTATTTGGAAGCTTTCTGGACCTCTTTTATCTGTCACTACTGTTCAACTAGAGGTATATTGTTCTCCCTTATTTTATCCTCTATTTATCTTAGAATTATTTTTCTGTCACGGGTGTCCTAGTATTGTTGTTGATATGGCTACTACTGAGAGACTTGAAACCCCTACTGTTGATACCTCTATCATTGAGACATCTATTGGTACTTCTACTTCTATGTTTGACCAATATACAGTACCTACTAGCACAATTGCATTACCAACACCGCCGGACATGATCTTTTAGAAAGTTACGGCACAGTTGTTGAATGGTCGTCACTTCGCTGAATGGTCTCGCTCATTCCAGCTTTTCTTAGGCTGTGTAGGAAAGCTTGGATGGCTGACGGGATCTCACACAAAGCCAACTGATGCCGACCTTGGATATTCTGCGTGGTTCTCTGAGAATTGTGACATTCTTGGATTGTTATTTGGCTCGATAGAGCCATCGGTTTGCAGGATTCACCAATTTCATAGCTTTGTTCCAAAGCTACAGAGCGCATTATCAGAGATGTATTCTCAGTCAGGACAAGGAGTTCGTGTTTATGAGCTTTCTCAGGAGCTCTCATATGCTCAGCAAGGAGATATGACTGTTCAGGATTATTATGGCTATTTAGCCTAGCACTGACTTAAGTATGAGACTCTACGTCCTCTTACTGCTATTCCGAGGATAGAGCCCAAAGGTGCAACATTCATGCATACTCGAAAGCAGGAGGATAGGATTTACAAGTTCCTTATGGGACTTTGTAATGAGTTTGAGGGACCTCATTCCCAAATCTTGTCGATGGTAACGCTTCTTTCTCTTTATGAAGTGTATGCGATGATTAAACAACATGAGCGCCGCGTCTGTATTGCATCACTTCCAGTTGTGGCCTTGACTCCCCCGGTTGATCATATGACCCTTGCAGCTGCTGCAGGATCTCGTTCAAGATCCTCAGTCAAGGGTGGGCAGCGCTCGAACCAACGCCATCAGGGTGCCCCAGATCAACGCAAACAAGGAGATTCTCATCAGTGTAATTATTGTGGCCGACCAGGACATCTCAGGGTTACTTGTAGGAAACTCCATCCGGAGCTTAAGCCGCCTTCTCACGGACGTACTGCTGCTATTGCTGAGGTACCACCACCTACTACCGCTACTCTTGCTACTGCTCCTCCTTGGCAGAGTGATATGGATGCTATCACTCCCGATTGGATATACTTATGTTCGCTCTGACTTTTCAGAGTCCGACTACTGCTGCTGTCACCACCACAGGTATACCTCGTGCCTTTCATGCTTGTGCCAATTCGCCTCCCCTTTGGATACTAGACTCGAGTGCGAATGATCACATAAAAGGTGAAGCCAATCACTTCACAACTTTTGACGAACAGTTACATACACAGGTTCAGTTAGCAAATGAGACACATGCCCCTATTATTAGTAGGGGTACAGTCCGTCTCCTAGATGGCTTTACATTACGTTCGATTTTTCATGCGTCAAAGTTGGCCATGAATCTATTATCTGTATATTAGTTAGCCAGAGATTTTCACTGTGCGGCTATGTTCTTATTTGATTCGTGTTATTTACAGGACCTGAGTACCAAGAGGATTATTATCAGGGGACATGAGAGAGATGAACTCTATTATCTAGGTGATCCACCTACATCACCTGCACCTACTTTGTCTTTATCTGTTCCTAGCTTGCATGCTAGTATTTTACCTAATAGTTGTCATTATGATTTTGTCACAAACTGTTCGGTTGTGACATGACCGTTTTGGATATACAAATTTTAAATATTTATGTATGTTATTTCCTGCTTTGAGCAATGCTTGTGTTGATGGTAAATTTGACTATATTATATGTTCCCTATCAAAACATGTTAGGACCAGTTATATTCCTCGCATGCACCGATCACCCAAGCCATTTGACCTAATACACTCTGATATTTGGGGACCCTCTCCTGTTACTTCTTTGTCAGGTGTTCGATACTATGTAACATTTATAGATGATCATACCCGTTGTTCTTAGGTCTACCTTTTGCATAGGAAGTCTGATGTACTCCCTACAATCACTCAGTTTCTACAAATGATTAAAACACAATTCGATGTCATTATTCGTGTTCTTCGTTCGGATAATGCCAAAGAATATGTGTCTAATGCCTTGGTGTCTCATCTTTTTTCTCAAGGTATTCTTCAGCAACTCACTTGTCTATATACTCCTAAGCAAAATGGCGTTGCTAAAAGAAAAAATAAGAGTTTAATAGGGATGGTATGTTGTATGCTTAGAGGTATGTGGGTACCCAAATCTTATTGACNATGGCGTTGCTAAAAGAAAAAATAAGAGTTTAATAGGGATGGTATGTTGTATGCTTAGAGGTATGTGGGTACCCAAATCTTATTGACATTTTGTTATTTTGACTTCTACCTTTCTGTGCAATCGTACACTGAGTCGGATTCTTCAGCATAGGGCTCCCTTACAGGTTTTATTTTCTGAGCGGACATTTATTCCGGTCCCCCCTCGTGTTTTTGGATACACATGTTTTGTTCGGGATCGGTCTCCTACTTGTTATAAGATTGATGATAAAACGATTCATTGTGTCTTTGTGAACTATTGTCATCAATCTAAGGGGTATCGGTGTTATGATCCTATTAGACGCCGTATATATCACAGTCTAGATGTTACCTTTCTTGAGCATATTCCTTATTTTTCTTCCAGTCCTGGGTCTGCCCCTCCAATTGATGATACTCTCTTTGATTTTTTATTACCGCAGGAGCTAGAGCCATTGGTCACTATCACTACAGAGTCATCTGTCTCTCTTCCTCCAGAGCCACTCATCCCTGTCAGTATAGAGTCACCAGTCTCTCTTCCTGTGCAGGTTTATGTTTGTCGCCCTCGCTCTCATCTCCCTACTGATGTCCCCTCTATCTTAAGTGATGCAGATAATACTTCTCAATTCGTTGAGCATATTGATACATCTATTGTTAGTGCTTATGAGATTGCAAGTACTAACCCAATTACTTTACCTGATGAGATATTGTCAATAGAGGATAATGATTTAGGGCATTGTGATCTGCGGCGTAATCATTGTCCAGTTGTTCGTTATGGTTGGACCGTCAGGATTTTATATCTGATCTCTGCTTATGTTTCTTATGGTGATCTGTCTCTTACATTTCGAGCTTATAGTATGGTCTTATCAAATACGCCAGTTCCTCGCTCTGTTTCGAAGGCTATACGGAAGTCCCAGTGGGTTCTTGCCATGCAGACAGAGATGGACGCTCTTCAGCATAACTATACGTGAGATCTTATCTCTTTACCTTCAGGGGTGAAGCCTATTGGCTGTTACTGGGTTTACACCCTAAAGTTTCTTGTGAATGGTATTATTGACCGTCACAAAGCTAGGCTTGTGGCGAAGGACTTTACTCGGGTGTTAGGTCGTGATTTTGGTGTTACCTTTGCCCCTATAGTAAAATTGACTACTGTTCGATTGATTATTTTTCTGGCTGCGAAGTACTCTTGGTCTCTTCATCAGTTGATATAAAGAATGAAATTTCTTCACGGTGATTTGGACGAGATTATTTATGTGGATGCACCACCGGGTTTTCGTGGTGAGGGGAAGTATGCTGGAAAGATATGTCGATTGCGTAAGTCTCTTTATGGACTGAAAAAATCACCACGAGCCTGATTCTCTTNTCTCTTTATGGACTGAAACAATCACCACGAGCCTGATTCTCTTGCTTTAGTGATGTAGTTATACGTTTAGGGTTCACCAGATGCCATTCTGATCATTCATGCTTCATTCGACGGAATACTTCTTGATAGTGTGTCATCCTTTTGGTATATGTTGATGATATTATTATTACTGGAGATGATGTTTCTGGGAATGCGCAGGTCAAGGTAGACCTTAAAAAAGCCTTCAATGTGAAGGACCTTAGATTTTTACGATACTTTTTTGGGATTGAGGTTGCCCGTAGCAGCAGGGGTATTGTTGTTTCTCAGAGAAAATATGTTCTGGATCTTCTCTCAGACACTGGGATGCTGGGGTGCAAACCGACATCATCACCCATGATTCCAAACCTGAAGCTTACTGCTGAAGGTGAGGAATTGAAAGATCCGACTGTCTATCAGAGGTTGGTAGGTAGACTTATCTACCTAGCTAACACTAGGCCAAACATTTCATTCGCTGTCAGCCAAGTTAGTCAGTTCATGCACAGACCATGTCAGCCTCATCTTGATGCAGTTTGTCATATTCTTCGGTACCTCAAATCTTGTCCTAGACTTAGGTTGTTCTATGCATCAGGATCTCAGACTGGTTCTCTAACCTGTTATTCAGATTTAGATTATGGGGGAGCGTGTGACGGTCAATCTACTATAGACTTCTGTGCTTTTCGAGAGACTCATCTTATCTCTTAGAAGAGCAAGAAATAGTCAGTTGTCTCTCACTCGTCAGTAGAGACAGAGTATCGGGCACTGGCATTTAGCACATATAAAATTATTTGGCTACGATCGATTCTTGGCGAGTTAGGTTTTTCAATGACTTTTTCATCTACATTATATTATAATAATCGATCTGCTATTCAGCTCACTTTTGACTCTGTATTACACGAGAAGACAAAACATATAGAGATCGATGTTCACTTTCTTAGGGAGAAGGTTAGCAATGGTATTGTCACTCCATCGTTTGGGGAGACTAGTGATCAGGTTACGGATATTTTCACCAAACCTGTTACTCTATCCATTCTTCAGGACTCCGTTGTCAAACTTGGCCTAATTAACATTTTTGCGCCAGCTTGAGAAAGAATATTAGAGATATAGCAGCCTAGTTTATTAGACTTTATTAGAATTTTCTCTTTTTTACCTTTTTATCCTTATTGTAACTTTCATTGGCTATATATACGGGAGTTCTACACTTAGTTTGTATCCTTTTTTACTCATCAAGTACAACAAGCCCATTGAGCATTTTAAAACAATATCTAAGTCAGATCTGGATCAACACCACTCGCCTATTTTAACTCCGTTGAATCAGAGGAAAAGCTCAGCATAGTCGATCTCTAGGGTATCGATGAAGAAGATGGACCATGATTCTCCTATATCAACCCTATGTGATGGAACAAATCAAAAGGCTTTGGGCAATTTTCAACGTAAGGTGTTGTAGGTGTTTGATGAATATATGAGAGAGTTGTTGGAAGAAGAGAATGGATTTCTGTTTTCGAAAATCAATTGAATGCTCAATGATTTTGATGATTTCAACATTAATAAAGTCCATATGGTTCAACAATCATGTCGTGTGTAAAAGAGGAGGTTGAGGAAAGTGGTAGTGCAGTAATTCAAGAAACAGATGATAATGATGATGTTAAAGTAGTGGACACCGATATTGAAGTGGGTAATATGTTTGATGAGTGTAAAGCGGGATCTGATGCAGCTTGGTTATAGGTATTGCCTATTACTGGAGCTATGTCCGNGTTTTTCTTTTTACCTTTTTATCCTTATTGTAGTTTTCATTGGCTATATATACGGGAGCTCTACACTTAATTTGTATCCCTTTTAACTCACACATATTTCTCTAGTGTTTCTAGTACATTTTGCAATTTATTATTGCTCTGGGACTTGCTATTCTTTGTTGCTCAATACTAGTGGTTATTCAAAAACCAATAATCACCCTTATCATGAAATGAACTTTTTTGTCATAACGTGATCATAATCTGTTTATTACTTGTTTCTGCATGTTAATAATCAAGGTTTCTATGAATTCACAGACAAAATCGTATCTAGAATTCCTGAATTTAATAAGCCGGCTTTTTGGGCTCGGACAGAATCTGGAATCTTCCGAGCGGTCTTTAAAGCAAATCCTAGTTTTGATGAAGCCCCATGGCCTTTTTTTTCAGCCCATTCGGTAGACTTCGTAAAGAGACAGCTGAACAAGGATTACCACAAGAGATTAACTGCTGCTCAGGCTCTTTGTAAGTTATTCAGACAATCTGAATTATTAGATTTCTGTTTTGCAACTGGACCAAGATCTTTTTGTATATAGGGATGGACAATTCTTTCTTCGTTCCAAATTTTGTCTCGGCCCTTATGAAACCATGTTGAAAAGTTACTTTGATGTGAATAAATTTGAATGACATACCATTGCTTTCTTCCTGAGATGGATAAGAATACTAGGAACAATTATTGCAATTCCTAGGGCGTTGTGATCCTTATTTAATCAGCTAGATTATTATTCTGGGGTTCTAATATCTTCTCTTGAATTTTCTTCTTTAGGTCATCCATGGCTGGCCGGTTATCATGATGTCAAGTTACCCTTGGATATCATAACAAACAAGCTTGTAAAAGCCTATATATGTTCTTCTTCTCTCAGGAAAGCATCTCTTGGGGTATGTAGTTCTGCCTTTGAACAACTGCTACTATCGCTTATAATTTTGTCCAGAGAATGTACAAAATTTGGAATTTAAAAACTCCAGACAACAAAAATAAACATAAGGCCAATTTTCTCTAAGCAACCTGAGAGAACATAAACAAGAAATTTTGATTTTTTCCTATCTTGAGATGAAAAGAACTCGCTTATGGACATCTAAGGCTAATGCATTTAAGTATTAGGATGCTTGAGCATAGGAGCAGTAAGTATATTGTGTTCGCTCTGCTTCTATGGCAGGCTCTTGCAAAGACATTGGCAATACCTCAGCTGGCTTATCTCCGAGAACAATTTACATTGCTAGGCCCAAACAAAAGCGGATTCATATTTCTACACAACTTTAAAACGGTAAGCTCTTCTTGTTTTTCTTTTGCCATTTTTTTACGAGCTGTTTGTCAACTCCTCTCCCAGTTATCCTAAATGTCAAAATACGGCAGGCTGTGGCAAAGAACTGCACTGATGCCATGAAGGACTCAAGGGTTCAAGATTATGCCAGCATGGTGACATCCCGTTTCCTTATATTTTCTTGTTTTTCTTTCTTTCTTCTTCTTCCTCTTCCTCGTCTTCTTTATTGGTTAGAATAAACGGACCTTATTAATAAATATTACTGCATAGCAAATTAAAAATTGAGACTCTTGGCTGAATGCATATTCATGTGTCTTGCAGGTAAGTTCACTTCAATATAGAAAACTAGATTTTGAAGAATATTGTGCTGCAGCAATAAGTGTGCATCAGCTGGAAGGAATGGAGACTGGAGAGTTGGGAGCAACATGCACGACGTGCCTATGAGCTTTTTGAGAAGGATGGAAATATACCTATTATGATAGAGGAACTTGCCTCAGTATGATCTCTCTCTCTCTCTCTGTGGATTTGCATAAGCAAGCATCCATGTGTTCTTGGGCACATCTGGTCCTCTCTTCTCTCCCTAGTGCATTGTTCTAGTATTTACGCATGTGATCCAATGAAGTGCCTATATAGCGATTTTAGGCCTGGAGCATAGTTCCTTGTGAACACTATAAATGGAGTACTGAACAAGAAGTGGTGCGGGATGTGTTAATCATAACTGGTCCACTGAGAAATTTTCTGCACCAAAAATTGCCATGGACTATTTTGTTCCTCTGATCCAAATACCTTTGCTATTCCTTTGTGGCCAATTCAATCCATAACCTCTACATGCAAACCACATTTGCGAGAAGGATGATGACAACAGAGGTGCAAGTACTAGTTTAAAGGTTTTTTGGTCTACTGATCTCGCAGATTTCTTAAGACACTAGGGGATAAAAATTTGAGAAATTCATGATTTTCACTACCATATGACTCCATTCAATTTTTATATTTCCTATATTTGTTTTCCTCCACGTATGTGTCCACAACAATCAGGAAACTTTCTAAATAACTTGGGTCTTTCTTACCAGGAGCTTGGACTTAGCCTGTCAGTACGTGTTCATGTAGTCTTCCAAGACTGGATAAGGCACTCCGATGAAAAGCTTAATTTTTTGGGATTTGTCAGACTTTTGCATATGATTTCTTCTCGTGTGTTTTAGAAGGCTTAGTATGAAATCCAGCTACAGAAACTTTATCCGTAGAAATCTACCTCTCTTTCATTGAACTAAATTGTCTCATGGGGACAAAAAGGCCACCATTTTGAGGGAAATGCTAAAAAGGCAAAAAGCATATGTCATGTCTTAAGAGCAGCTCTAAGTTGAAACAATGAATAATGCGGCTTGAGTGGCAGTCAAAGCATTTTGCAACAATTTCACACATCAGAATGCNTGTACTCACTGTGGTCGTGGAGGACACACTGTTAACTTCTGTTGGGATTTATATGGTAAATCCTCTAGTGCTGCTAATCAAGTTTCTTATCAAGATGATACCTCTGTTATTGTTTCCATACCTCGATCAGTTCCACCAGACACTGGATCAGTTACTATTATACTGGGTCGAGAAGAGTATGCCCAGTTCTGTCCCAGCAACAGGTTGTTCCATCTTTCTCCACTGGTACTTTTGCCCAGTCAGATACTGTTTCCACTTGTTTATTGTCCTCTACCCGCAGNATGCCCAGTTCTGTCCCAGCAACAGGCTGTTCCATCTTCCTCCACTGGTACTTTTGCCCAGTCAGGTACTGTTTCCACTTGTTTATTGTCCTCTACCCGCAATCCCTGGATCATAGACTCTGGCACTTCTGACCACATAACTGGTGCGTCTGATGTTTTTTCTACTTATAAGTCTGTTACTTCTACACGTAGTATTAATCTTGCTAATAGCACTTGTTCTAAAGTTTCAGGTCTGGGAACTACTCATTTGAGTCCTGATATGTCCTTATCATCCGTGTTATTTGTTCCTCAGTTTTCTTTTAGTTTACTTTTCATTAGTAAGATTACCCGTTCTCTCAATTGTTCTGTAACCTTTTATCGTTCTTATTATGTCTTTTAGGATCTCAAGACGAAGAGGAAGATTGGTACAAGGCATAAAGCCGGTGACCTATATTACTTTGATTTTGATTCACCTACTCGGGCTCTATAGACCTCGTTGTCTCCTTTTCAATGGCAATGCCATCTTGGACATCCCTCTCTCCAGAATCTGAAACGCCAAGTTTTCAGTCTTAGTTGTGTGTCATCTTTGTCTTGTGAAGCTTGTCAACTTACTAAGTATCACCGTGTGTCATTTCAGTCTAGAGTCAATAATCGTGTGTCTAGTCCATTTGAATTGGTACATTCTGATGTATGGGGTTCAATAAAAAATATTTCATCTAATAAATATCCTTATTTTGTGTCTTTTGTGGATGACTATTCTCGTGTGACTTGGTTGTTTTTTATGAAAGTTTGGTCTAAATTATTCTCTATATTTGAGACCTTTCGTAAGGAAATTAAAACTCAGTATGATTATCGTATACGNGGGGTCCAATAAATAATATTTCATCTAATAAATATCCTTATTTTGTGTCATTTGTGACTACTCTCGTGTGACTTGGTTGTTTTTTATGAAAGTTCGGTCTGAATTATTCTCTATATTTGAGACTTTTCGTAAGTAAATAAAAACTAAATATAGTTGTCGTATCCGTATTTTATGTTCTGATAATGCTCGGGAATATGAATCTAATCCTTTTTCAGCTTATCTTAATAAAGCTGGCATTATTCATTAGACTTCTTGTGCTTACACATTGTCACAGAACGGTGTTGTTAAACGCAAGAACCATCATTTGTTAGAAGTCACACGTGCCCTGTTATTTCAGATGAATATTCTCCAATATTTTTGGAGTGATGTTATTCTTACTGCTTGTCATCTTATTAATCGTATACCATCCTCTGTGTTAAATGGACAAAGTCCATATTCTGTCCTTTTTTCTAGTAAGTCTTTATTTTTCCCGACTCCTAAGGTTTTTGGATGTGTCTGTTATGTTCACAATTTGGGCCCTAAGTCTGACAAACTTGACCCTCGAGCTATCAAATGTATATTTCTTGGTTACTCCCGCACGCAGAAGAAGTATCGTTGCTACGGTCCTTCTCTGCACCGATACTTTACTAGTGTCGATATCACGTTTGAAGAATCTGTTCCATACTTTCCAGCACCTTCTCAGCCTTTGGATCTGGACTTTGGATCATCTCCTGTACCACCATCTCTTTCCTCATCTTCAGATATCCCACTGCCCACTGTGTTACCATCTACTTTACCTCTTCGTGTCTACTCTCGTCGTCCTCACCCATCGACTGAGGTGCCTGTACCGTCTTCCTTGCCGCCTCTGATCCTAGTACATCAGGTAATTTAGACTCTTTACCTATTGCTCTTCGCAAAGATACTCGTTCGTGTGTTACTAACCATCCTATTTCTCATTTTGTTTCATATGATGTCTTGTCTCTTGTCTTCTCCTGTTTTACTTCCCAATTATCTGCTATATCTATTCTTAAGCATTTACAGAATGCATTATCTGATCCGGGTTGGAGAAAAGCTATGGAGGAGGAGATNCTGTTTTACTTCCCAATTATCTACTATATCTATTCCTAAGCATTTACAGGATGCATTATCTGATCCGCATTAGAGAAAAACTATAGAAGAGGATATGGACGCTTTACATCATAATAGGACTTAAGATCTCGTTCTTTTACCCCCTAATAAACGAACTGTTAGCTGCCGTTGGGTGTATACCGTTAAATTTCATCCAGATAGTTTTGTGGAGCATCTTAAAGCCAGACTTGTTACAAAGGACTTTACTCAGACTTATGGTGTTGGTTATGACGAGACTTTTTCTCCTGTTGCCAAAATTTCCTCTGTTCGTATCTTGATTTCTTTGGTTGCTAATCTTGATTGGCCCTTGTTTCAGCTAGATGTCAAAAATGTCTTCCAACATGATGACTTAGTTGAAGAGGTATACATAGAGTAGCCACCTGGGTTTACTGCTCAGGGAAAGTATGGTAAGAGTGTATGTTGGTTAAAGAAATCTGTGTATGATTTGAAGCAATCACCGAGGGCATGGTTTGATAAATTTTCAGATACAGTTTTAGAGTTTGGTCTTCTTCGATGTCAGACAGATCATTCTGTGTTTCATAGACAAACAGATACTGGATATGTCCTATTGGTGGTCTATGTAGATGATATTGTGATTACTGAAAATGATTTCTGAAGGGATTGCCAAGTTAAAAATATTCTTACAGGATCGATTTCATACTAAGAATTTGGAAAAACTAAGGTATTTCTTGGGTATTGAGGTGGCTCGATCTAAACAAGGTATTTGTTTATCCCAAAGAAAATATGTACTTGACATGCTTGAAGAAGCAGGTTTGCTAGGTGGTATACCGATTGATGTTCCTAAGGATCCGAATCAGAAATTATTGATGAATGATGGTGCATTGTTTGAGAATTCGGGTCGATATCGCAGATTGGTTGAGAAGCTTAATTATCTCACTATTACTCGACCTGATATTTCCTATGCAGTCAGTATAGTAAGTCAGTTCATAGGATGTCCTAGAGTACCACATTGGGAGGCAGTTACTCGTATTCTACAATATCTCAAACGAGCTCTTGGACTCAGAATGTTATATTGAGCTAATACACATCTTAGAGTGGAAAGTTTCTCAAATGCTAATTGGGTTGGCTCTCCTTCTGATCGGAGATCAACCACTGGTTATTGTACTTTCTTAGGAGGTAATGTTATTTCATGGTAAAGTAAGAAACAACCTGTGGTAGCAAGATCCAGTACTAAGGCTGAGTATAGAACAATGGCACATACGACGAGTGAGTTGACTTGGCTACTACACTTTCTCCAAGAAATTAATTTTCAGCTCAACTTCTTTTACAGTTGTTCTGTGACAACCAGGTAGCTATCTATATAGCTGTCAATCCTGTGTTTTACAAGAGAACCAAGCATATTGAGGTTAATTATCACTTTATTCGGGACAAGATAGTAGTTGGGGAGATTACAACTCTATTTGTGAAATCTAAAGATCAACTTGCAGATATGTTTACCAAAGCATTGAATCGTACACGTCTTACAGCTACTTGTTCCAAGCTTGAATTATATGATATATATAGTCCAGCTTAAGGGGGAATGTTAAGAATAGTAGGGTACTATGTGTAAATTGTTAATAATAAGAGGGTGTATATGTAATTCTTATTATTGTAGGTTAACTATAAATACAATTGATATATGAGAGCTAGGTTAAGTTTTTAACCTCTCTCTATTTCTCTCTTATATTGTGCTAATTCTAAACTTAACACTGAGGATGACCACCAGGGTCTTGATGATTCACAAAGAATGAGCTCTGATATAGGTTTTGGGAAAGAAATAGTTAGTTTTTTATAATAGAAATGTCAAAGAGTAAAGGACAGATGGTGGTAACCTTGAAACTGCTGTGTCTGAAATGCTTCCTCAAAGTAGTCATGTTATGTTTCTAAAAATGAGGGAGGTTTGGAAGCTGAGTGAGCAGATGAGGGGAATTTCTTGTTTAACGAAAATAGTTGAGCAGATTAAGGGATGTTTTGGTAAAAATGGATCTTAACAAAAATAGAATTGGGGTTAAAGGGAGTTGAAGAACTTAGAATCTGGGGTAAATTATAGGGGGGTAGCATTATGAAACTGGATGGGGAAGTTAAAGTTGTTTTATAAAGATTGTGAGCAATAATATGAGAGGGATAGGGAATCAAAAGAAAAAAAAGTTCTATAAAAGAAGTGGTGATTAACACGGAACCAAATATTATAGTGTTGCAAGAAATTAAGAGGGAGGTTAATGATAGAAGAATAGTATCTAATCTTTGGGGTGTTAGGTTCAAGGAATGGGCTTTTTCACCTTCATGTAGTAAGTCGGGGGACTGGTTATTATTTGGGATGTAACTCAAAATTTTTTCATAGAGTTTCAAATGGGAGAGAGAGAAATAACTTGATAAGCAAACTGGAGATTTCTAGTGGTATGATGATTAAGCATGAAATAAGTATTGAGGAGGAATTCATAAAATATTTTAAAGATCTCTATACAGCACATGAAGGGTTTAGACCAATTTTGTAAGTGTTGGAGTGGAGTCTTATTGGGAGTCAAAAAGCTAGTTAGCTAAAGAGACCTTTTGAGGAGATGAAAGTGAAAAAAAATTATTTTTTAGTGTAGTAAAGATAAATCTCTAGGGCCTAATTGGTTTTCTTTAGCAATATCCCAAGAATATTGGGATGTGGTTAAAGATGATCTTATGAAGGTCTTTTGGGAATCTTTTAATAATGGTGTGGTGAATGTGAACACTAATGCTACCTTCATTTGCTTAACCTCCAAAAAGCAGAATTCTTAAAAAATCAATGATTTCAAACCAATCAGTTTTGATTACTAGCTTGTATAAAATTTGAGAAAATGTGTTATTTTTAAGGCTAATGGTGATTCTAGGGGATACAATTTCTAGAAATCATAGTGTTTTTGTTGTGGGTTGACAAATTTTTAGATAGTGTTTTGGTGGCTAATGAAATAGTTGAGGAGTATAGGATGAAAGGCAAGGAAATGGTGGTGTTTAAAATTGATTTTGAAAAGGCATATGATCATGTCAATTGTAGTTTTTTAGATCTTGTGCTAGAAGTTAAAAGTTTTGGAAATAGGTGAAGAAGATGGTTTAAGGGATGCTTATCTTTCATGAATTTTTCAATGATATTAAATAGCAAACCAAGAGGAAGGTTTAATGCATCAAGGGTTTGCGGCAGGGAGACCCTCTTTCCCTTTTTCTTTTTACTTTATTGGTTGATGCATTAAGTAGATTGGTGGATAAGGGCATGGAGTACAATTTAGTGGAAGGTTTTATAGTGGGTAATAATAGGATTAATGTTTCTCACCTTCAGTTTGTAGATGATACCATATTTTTCTTGTTAAAGGATGAGAATAAATTTCAGAATTTGGTTGATATTATAAGTATTTTCAATTTAATATCAGGGTTAAGATTAATATGTACAAGAGTGTTATTGTGGGTATTAATGTTTATAGAAGCAAGATTGAGGATTGGGCAAGGAGATTAGGTTGTGAAGTGAGTGAATGGCCATTAAAATATTTGGGGCTTATTTTGAGAGGTAATCCCTTATCTCTCAATATCTCGAATCCAGTTGTTGAGAGACTGCAACAATAATTGGATGGATGGAAGAAGAATTGTTTGTCTAGGGGTGAGAGACTTACTTTGATCCAAGTAGTCTTGGGTAGTATTCCTACTTATTTTATGTCCATTTTCAAGATTCAAAAAAGAGTGGCTAAAATTCTAGAAAAGCTAATGATAGATTTTTTTATGGGAAGGTAGTGGAGAAGGGAAAAGATACCATCTTGTTAGGTTGGATGTGCTGTCAAAGTCTAAAACAAAAAAGGGGTTGGCTATAGGCAACTTAACTAAGAGGAATGTGGCATTATTGGAGAAGTGGCTTTGAAGGTTTTCATTAGAGCCTGATTTTTTATGGCATTCTATTATCAAAAAAAGTATGGAATCCATTCCAATGGATGGGGCTCTAATGTTGTGAGTCAAGGTTCCTTTCATAATCCTTGAAATTTTATTTATCAAGGTTTGGACAATTTTATAAGACATGTCATTTTGAGGGTGGGGAATGGAGGGAAAAGTTCGATTCTGGGAGGATGTTTGAATTGTTGAGTCATCCTTGGCTTCATGATTCCCTCGTCTTTTTTAGGTTGTCCGGGTCTCATAATACTCTTGTTGTTAGAATGTATTGTTCTTCTTCTTTTTTTCACGGGATGGAATTTGAATTTCTTCACAATCTACATGAACGGATTTCCTAGAGTATTCTTCCCTTCTTTCGTTGATTGATTCAGTGTCTTTGGACTCATCAATTAGTGATAGAAGACTTTGTTCTCTTGATTCATCTTGAATATTTTCTTCTTGTTCCTATTTTGAGCGGTTAATTGATGATCCCAATTATTCTATATTTGAAACTCATTCAATCATTTGGAAGGAAAGACTTCCTGTTAAAGTGAAGATGCTTGCTTTGATGATTGCTCATGGGAAGATAAATACTTGTGATTTGTTGCAAAAGAAAAGGTCAAACACTTATATTTCTCCTCATTGGTGTGTTCTACGCAAAAATAGTTGTGAAAGTGTTAATCATTTATTTCTTCACTGTTCTACTGCTCATTTCTTGTGGCATAGATTGTTGGTGGAGGCGGATTTGGTGTGGGTAACACCATTTAATTGTGCTTCTTTTTTGATGATGTGCTTTGATGGTTTTAGAAATGGTAAAAAAAGCTGCCATTTTATGGCGCTTTGCAATTGGCAATTTTTTGGGTTGTATGGATAGAGAGAAATCGTAGAACTTTTGAAGGAAGAGAGAAGGAAAAGGATTTGTTATGGGATAGAGTAAAGTTTTTGGTTTCTTTATGGGCAGTGGTCACTAAGAAGTTTTATGGAACAATGTTATCAATCGACCAATACAACTGGAAAGTTGTTTGTAGTGACTAGTTTTGCTATTTTGTTTTGTTTTGTTTTGTTTTCTCAATGGATTTCTTATCCACATTTTTGTATTTTTATCTCTTTCTATGAAATGAAAGTTTTGTATCCTATCCAAAAAAATAGACAGTTAATTGACCATATACCTGAGTAATGTAACAATATCCCAAATCTGTTGGGGATATGAATTCCTTTTTGTTATTAAATCTAAAATCTATATAACACATACAGACATGTCAGAATGGACAATGATTCTACAGAAGGTGGAAGGGGGGAGGAAAGACAAAGGTCATTCAAGCACACAGTATGAACTAAAAACTTGAAAGAACAGATACACATATTTCGTGGTCTCTTCAAAATGCACCAACTATCTGTATAAAACACTCAACCATTGGGTAAGCACAAGGGTAAGGGTAAGGGGTATGGGACATGTGTTCGACACTTCCCATTGGGTATGCACCTAAATAAGTATATTCAGCAATGCATGTTTATTATATAATGGTGCAGCATCCCTCTTGTGATCTGAACATCAAGGTTTCGAGTCTCTAATAGCCTCTCCAAACCCTGCAGTGCACGAGGCTCTTGCCATGAGGTTTAAAGTGGGTGAAGTCCCATTTTAAGTCCACTCTGGTCATCTTGATATGTCGTGCCTTTGGATTTCGATATTATCTGAATCCAAAGCTTAGACACATACCCAAACCCGACATTCACACTCATGTCCATTTGACAAAAGTGATTATAAAGCTCCCCAACAAAAAAGTTTCCTTGATAAATATGGTCAATAATACTAAGCTCCACATCAACCTATACTCCTATTATTTTCTGCTTAGTACACCAAAGAAAAATTGGGATATCAATGCATTGATATCGTAGATGGCTAATGCAACATTCTTATGGTACAGAACTATCCCTTAGTAAAAAAATAAGTAAAAGTTAAAATTAGCTGTAACTTCGAAAATCTAGCCATCCACAATTAAAAGATTGTTCAAAGTTTAATGCTTATGACAACCATTATAAGGAATTCTTGTGCTGCCCGAACCCATCTTCAAAGCAGCAGGTATACTAGATAGATATCCAAAGTGAGTAATACTAACCACTTTGCTAGCTTTAGGATCCTCTCCTCCATGTCCACCCGAGAAACTCGTGGCTTGTCATATGCGTCATTATACTCCTCCAGTGGCTTGAAGGCTGCTCTTTCCATCTCCAACTCAACATCACCTCTCTCCTCAGAAATAAACTTATTGCTCCTACTTGGCTTCGGATTTTTCACAGCAACTTTTTTCTGAAGAATCCATTCACCTTTAACACCATTCCTCTCTAGTCTCCCCATCGTTTCAGATCTTATAAGTCCAACTTTATCCTTCTTAAACCCTTGTCCTTCAAATTTATCTTTCCTTTCAACTCCTTGTACACTACTAGTCTGGTCATTTGTCCATCTCCCATTCTTACTTTTTGTAAAGTTTTCACTTTGTTTACAATCCAATTCGACTTTGACCAAACTATGAGTCCTTCCTTTATTACCCCCCTCTTCAAACCCCATCTTCCTGGCATCCTTCACCTTCCTACTTCCTCGGTCTTTGCAATCAATCTTATCAGTGGCCATCTCTTTTTTGGCTTCTCCACCCGAATCATTCTTTAAATTTCTTCTATTTGGATTATGTTCATCCCTTTTCTCTCTATCACTTTTCACAGACTCCATGGCCTTCAAATACTCATCAAACGAAGGCTTGAATTCAAACTCTTTCTCAATACTCCCACCACCCACCACCATATTATCTGAATCTCCTTCCAGTAAAACAGTAACTTTACCAGAACTACACATCTGCGAACCCAAAATGCTTTTCCACTCCACCTTCCTCATTTTCAAGGCAGAACCAAAAATGGGTCCTCGAGCAATTGAAAACCCAGATGGAAAATTTAAATTCATGGTATATTTTGATGCCCAAATTCCATCTTTTCCTATACAAGAGGCACCCATTTGAGCATTTGTCACAATTATCACCACCATAGCCCGACAATTGAACTCAAACTACTTCTAATAATCCCATGCACATACACACATATATGGGTATTAAAACTTAAAGCGTCACGTGCTTACTGTAAATGCCGTTTTGGACTCGCTCTTCGATTCGGAATTCGCTGAAAGATGCGTTCAGGTGTTCTTGGGCTGATGAAGAAGATAATGGAGGGTAAAGATCCTGAAGAAGTAAAGAAGTGAGAGAGACGCTCTCATGTCTTTACCCTGTTCTCGCGACTAGCCACTAGGATTAAGGAAATTACATTTTGACCGCTTCAGCACAATCTAACTTTGTCCCGTCAATTATTACGTTTCTCGCATTATCCATCAATTACGTCAACTATTTTCGTATTGCACATAGGCTTGGTTTGATTTGATTTTCAAAAATAATTTTTTATTTTCAATCTCTAAAAATAAGATAGATGTTTTTTGTTTAATATTTTTGTTCTCTAATTTTTTTTAAAATTTTAAAAAATGAGATGTAATTTTAGAGAACAATAAAATGATATTCTCATTATTTTTTAAGGCAAAATAAAAACATGAGAAACAACATATCTCCAAATTAATAAAATCTTCCCTTCGAGTTTCATTGGAGACAAAAAAAGAGAGACTGCCTCTACCGCTTCACTTAGCTCCCTCTCTCTCTATTTATTATTCTTCTCCACTTCTCTCTCTATTCATTCTTCTTCTCTACTTCTCTCTCTGTTCATTCTACTTCTTTACCTCTCTCTCTTTCGCAACTACAAAAGCTTTAAATTTGAAGAATGAATCGTGCATATACACAGATCTAAGAACAAATCTATTCATTCTTCTTCTCCACCGCCTCATTGACATTTTTCTCTCTCTTTCGCAACTTCTTCTCTACCTCATTATGCGTATGTGAGTGTGTGTGTTTTTGAGTGTCTGTGTGTAAACCCAACACTCGTTTCCTTATATATAGCAAGAAAATATATGAAATCTTTTATAATCAAACTTGTACCACCTATGTTTGATGTCCAAAAGTATGTTGTATAAGTTTTGGTTGGTTTTGGAAGGGTTTGGAATTGATTGGAAATGAAAAACAGAGGAAACAGGCAAAATCGAAAAAATTGTACCAGTACAGCAGAAAGTTACCGTACCGGTACAGCGTACCAGTACCCTGAAGTCCAGAAGGTTTACTGTATCAGTACAGTGTACCGGTATAGTTTCTAAAAACTCTGTACGATAATTTCATCGATTTAACCTGATTTTTCACCCTATAAATACCTAAGGACGCCTCCCTTAGCCCCATGTCAACATTTCTAACACTAGGAAACCTTAGAAAGGGAGAAAGAAGAAGAGAAATACAAGATCAAGAGGGATTTGCACTTTGAATAAGATCAACACTTTGGATTCAAGATAGGAATTTTCTTCTCACTCTTGTTCATTGAGGCTAGGACTTTATATATATATATGTATTCTTTTCACTCTCATTCATATATATATGCTATGAAATCTTTACTCCTTGATATTTTTGCAAAGATTTTCATGTTTTGAAGGAAGCTGGGGGAATAGCTATCAAATCTCTTTTGCTTGCCTTAGAATCCTAGTTTTCAAGGAAAATGAAATTTTCTCTTGATTTTTCCCTTGTCCTTGATTTCAAAACTTTAGTGTTTTGTATTGAACAATAAAATGGTATTATGATGATCTCTTGCTTATTTTCTTAAATTGTTCTATGGTAATACTACATGTAAAATTTGAGAATTTTGGAATTTGCTTGTTATTTGAGAAATTGTATTTATTGTGGATGTTTGGATGACCATGAGTGGTCGTTGACCACATATCGTAGAGTGGATAAATGCGTTTTCTACTCCGTGCGGGTTCGAATTTTTTCTACCACTCTTAGTGGGATTGGTGTCTAGTGATGACTAAACCACTATTCGCTCACGGGTATCGAGGATAAGTGTTAGTATACTATTCTTGGGTTGGATTCGTCACTGCCAATGTGTTGGTATACACCCTTCCTAAAGGTTAGATATTCTTGCGAGGATTGGATGTGTGTGTGTGGGTCGGGATATTCTCAATGTATTGATTCATACGATGTCATACATCATACCTGAGATACAGATACATGACATGGTTGAGTATATATTGTGGGCTATGGTTTCTTGTGCAAATTGTTGGAAATTGTTACTTATGGTGAAATTGACTTTACTATTTTCTTTAAGTATTGTTATTAAACTTGAAATCTATTGAAATGTCATAGTTTTCTTTCAAAATTGATATATAATATTTGTAAAATGAGACCGACTTTTTTTATCTACTTTTCAAATCTTGTTTGAATTTGGGAGAATTTTTCTACAGAGCTTAATGCTCACCTCTTACAAACCCTATCCTTTTCAAATTATGTCCTAGAGGAGGAGCTCAGAGTTGATGAGCGGGCACATTGGGAAGCTCCAAAAGATGGGAACGTAAATCCCGAGGTAGATGCTTAGAGTTATACTCTCTTATGTTCTAGACTAGAAAATTTATTTTGAGACAATGTAAAGTCTAATCTTTTGTTATTCCGTTGTAAGATTAAGTTTGATTCTTTTGATATAATTGTCAAGGTTTGACATATTCTTTTGGAATGGTGTTATAAATATTATAGATGATGAATGAAATTTTTTTTATTTATAGATTTTATTAGTTGCTCCCATGATGTGAATGGTTTCAGATTGTAATGTGGTCCAAAGAAAAATTTGGGGCATTACATTATGTGTGTGTGTGTGTGTGTGTGTGCATCTCTGTGTGTGTATGTCTGTGTGTGTATATGTTTGTGGAGATAGAGAGAGAGGAAAGAACGAGAGAGATGGGAATTGGGGGTTTTGTGGATTATTGTCTAAGCAGATTTTACATTTTTTTGTTTTTTAAAACTATTTTCAAAAATATATAACCAAATAGGTTTTGCAATTTTAAAATTTTCAAAAATATTATTTTAAAACTTTTCTCAAAAACTATTTTTGGATACTGTTTTTTGAGATGCAAACCAAACAGGTCCCAGATGTCCCACATGTTTTAGATAAAAAATATCCGACTATGTAATAAATATATATTTCCATTGTCTACAACTAGATAATATGAAATTAATAACTACAATTGAAAATGCAAAGTTGAAATTGGGATAGTTGAGAGAGTAATGTGAAACCACTAATTATAATTGACGACATGTTGTAACAAACTTGATAGTTGATGAGCAATATGAGAGAAGAGACATAATTGAGGGGTCAAAATATAATTTACCCCAAGCATGCTTTAAAAATGTTTTTATTTTTATTTTGGCTAAATCCCATTTTATTCAACACAAAAATTATCAATTTGTTCTTTGAATAATTAATTTTCCTACATTGCCCCTTCAAAAAAAAAACAGTGTAATGTGGTTTACCATCTTATTTCTATTTGGTCGTCAGTCTGTTTTGTGATTCCTGATTGGTTGATTTGACACAAAATAAACGGACAACCAAACGAAAATAAGATCATAAACCACATTGCAATGTTTTTATTTTTTTGAGAGAACAATGTGGGAAAATTAATTATTCGATGGACAAATTGAAAATTTTTGTATATTTCATGAGGCAAAATGGAATTTTCGCTTTTATTTTTATTCTTTCTTTCTATCTTTTTTAATCGACTTGTCTCTCTAATTCAAAAAAATATTGGATGTAATGATGACACCACATCATCAACGACATGTGGTGTCACCAACTAGTGATAGAATAACAAGTGAATTTAGTGGACTCACTTCTTTTACTGATTACCAATAATTACCTCTGCCATGTTGGAATAGTGGGGTTCACCAATCTTATTTATTTTTTATAATTGATTAGTGTCACCACGTGGCATTAATGATGCGGTATCACACACTCTTAATTTTATTAAAAATATACGCACTTATGTTGGGGCTTTTGAACTTACTTTGACAACATTGTCAAAAAATGTTGGGAAACAAAAAACATTAACAACATTTTTTGTTACTAGTTAATTATTAGGTGCTCATTCTTGCATTATGTTATAGCTAACATATTCACTTTAAGCTTCTTAGTAGACTAACTTCCTTTGTTTAGCTTGTTTTGCGATTAATGCATTGATTTTGTGTTTGCAGCTAGTCTAGGTGTAAAAGCAGATGTGGAGTATGATGATAATGGCTTTGGACAAGTTAGAATTGAGGATGATCCATTATAAGTGAAGTTGAAGGTCTTAAAGAATAAATTTAGACAAGATAGGTTCTATCGGTAGTAAACTAATCGGTAGGAGGGTGCTAAAATGATGAATCTACTAGTAGAAGTTGGGTTCTACTTGTAAGAAAGAAGACAATGTATAAGATATCGGTAAGTAGAAGGTGTTTCTACTAGCACTAGAACTCTTTGGAATAGGTTTTACCGATAAGCAGAAGGTGTTTACACCGGTAGCATAACTCTCTGGAATATGTTCTACCGGTAGTTGATCAATGTTCTACCAGTAGAAGCAGCGACGAGTATTTGAAGATCAAGGTTCCACCGATAGTTGATCACTGGTCTACCAATAAGTCGTGCAACAAAATGTAGTTTTACTAGTAGGTATCTGTAACGCCTCAAAAACCACCCTCGAAGGCATTACCTTCTAAAACAATTCATACAATGGGAACAACAAATAAAATTTATAAATAACCGGGGGTCTTTAATTTAATAAAATTCGGGCAGAGTCTCCTTTGTTAGGAGAGTTCTACCCAAAACACAACCTGTCCAATTATACTACATTGACCACACCGGGTCCATTTATCCCTAAAATATTTACAACATTATCTAAAAGAATAAGCTCAAACCAGGCTACTACATCAAAAGAATTACATTTGAACTTAGCAGCGGAATAAACAAAATACTAGACTTTACATGATTGTAAATAATCGTTCATAATCTAGCACAAAAATAAACATCTCTAGATGTCTCACTCGGGATCCAAATACCCCTCTAATGAAGCTTCTCCAT